AAAAAAAAATCTTTAGCAGAATAATACGTCAATAAATAACATTGCTAGCAAAATAAAACGTCCTCAAAATTATGTAAACCGGCAGACATGCCGTATCGACAATTGTACCTTCTTATATTTGGTTCCCCTCATATGGTCTGCGATCAGATGTGTGCATTCATTTCTCTTCATATCTCCTGAGAACCGACCTCCATTCAGTTCAACGAGTCGTGCAATATCAATGCGTTCATCGCCTCCGATACCAGTCGCTGTGACCACCTAGAAGATCGATTAAACGACAGAACTGAATCGAAACGCAATTCAAATCCTTCGAGACTCACCATCTGGTTGAAAATAGGAGTTCGATAACGCTGGGTCAACTCTGCCGACGCAAAATTTTCCGAGGAAAACTTCTGTGCAGCCTCCCATGCTTTTTCTATCCATAGTGGAGACATGATCGGTAAACACATTCTTCGAGCCTCCTGCATAGAAAACGCCGTGATACAAAGCTTACACGATAAGAGAATTGGTACCGCAACAGCAAATGTCCTCACCGTATACTTTTTGGATTGAGTATCACAGTAGTCCGTAACAAGATGGGTTACTTTCTCAGTCAAACCGGGAGATACAATGCCGTTCATGTAATTGATTTTTGCTTTCAGTTCGTCCTACAAAAAAAACTGATCATCAAGATGATCAGAAAAACCAAATTGAAGCAAGGTAAACACCCACCCGCTTCTCCAAAGGTAACCCCGTGAAACAAACGCAAGCTCCACTGAGGTTGAGGGAATATACAGGAAAGTCCCATCTTGGTAAAGCGCCACCAATCTCTAAGGTACGGCGGACCGCATGAGCTCCATATAAGCTGAAGCATCAAATCTGACTCATGGTTAATAGATATCTTAGTGATCAACTTACTTTACTCCCAGTCTACTAAGATGCTCAAAAACTGGGCCGCGGAAAGCAGCAAGAAAGTAGAAACTTTCGTCACATGAAGTCACCTCAAGTGCCATTTGTTCGGACATCCATACAGCCCCCAACCCATGGTTATTAACGAGCTAAATTTAAAACTCAACACTGCAACAAAGACTGCGCATCACTAACACAGGCCGTACCAAACTATCGAGTCCAATATGAACTTACGGCAAAAGTTTCACGAAAATACTGCGCTTCATCACTGGTAACAATCGAGTTGTTTGGCTCCACACAGAACACATTCACTGGCTCGATATTTTCATCATGAACCT